TAAAATGAAACTAAAAATGGATAAACCTTTAATAAAATTGTACAAAACATTTAACCTTTGACGGGGCACCTCTACCATTATACCCTATATGAAACAACCCCCTTCTGATTGTCGGAGACAGACCGTTGTCAAACAATATATGGCAGTGCCGTGGTATAAATGAATTGGGGCAGATTGTGAAAGATGGGAATATGGTACCCTTTAATAAGTTGAAAAAGTTGTACAATTTAACAGATGCTGAATTTTTGTCATACCTACAGTTAAGATCAATCTTAAGGTCTCTCATCTCAAAGAATTTGTCCACAGGGCTCAATAGAGAACTTGATAATAAATTGAGTCAGAGTTTCGGCAGTGTTTGAGTTATTGTGCCTCGCCTCTTCAGACAGCCTAGCTTCCATCAAACATCAGTGGGAGAAGGGCTGTATCCCTGACCTCAGCCCCGTGGGAGTCTGTCCAAAGAAACACAACCATGGTATCCAAAAGTGCTCGATACAAAATTTTACGAATAAAAGTGGTGCATAGGACGTATATTACACCATGCAGATTACAACGAATTGATCCCTTTTACATTTATGTTGGCACAGCTGTGGTGGGGCAGGATCACTGATGCATCTGTTGTGGCACTGCCCCCCAGTGAGATGTTTTTGGGACAAGGTGATATTCAGTTTGTCTTCTATCCTGGATGTGAAAATACCTCAGTGTCCATCAGTCTGCCTCTTAGGCACAAGAATAGAAAATATACAGTCAAAGCTTTTACACCGAATTATTGCTCTAGCTTTTATGTCAGTTAAACGTATCATTATGATAATTGGAAATCACACATTAAATTGTTAAATATAGATAATTGGTTAAAAGTCTTCATGGATTTATTATCAGTGGAACGGGCAGCTTCCGTTCTTTGTGAATATGACCATGGAGATGATGGACCCTGGATTTGTATGAGATCTTATCAAGGGAAAATGGTTCATGAATTAACTTTATTGTGTTTATTCTGACATCTGTTATGTTTTGTATAGTGTCACTGTTGTGTTATTGTTTAACAGTATGCACGCTTTATGTGGTATGTCAGTGTGCTGTCCTCTGTCATATGTCAATTAAAACTATAAATAAAAAAATTTAGATGACGGAAACTGTCAAAGGTCTTCATCCTTCCCAGCTTTAAGCTTTCAGTGGTCCGTGCTGGTTTGATTTCCAGAACAGCAGCTTGTGGCAAAATATTTTTTCTTGCTTTTGCTTTTGCTTGAGCTTAAACCTTTATCATCAGCTGTAGGTCTGGGAGTGCTATTGGCAAATGCTGTATATAGGGAGGTCAATATAAGGGCTTTAACTTAAGATAAGTTTGAGGAAATGAGTGCAGTTATAAATGAGCTTGCAGTTTACTTTCTTATTAAGCGGAGGCACAAAGATGCATGTTGTTGTTGCAAAAAGGATGGCTGGAATGCAAAATAAACAAGAAGGTATGCTGATTAATTATTATGTGCTAAGCAATCATTTTACTCATCTCAAACCTTTTCACAGCTGTGCTGAGCGCAACAGCACAAAAATGGCTCACCTTGACAGGCAGAGCCAGGAGGCGTTTAGAGGACACTGTGAGCATAGTGCCTTTACCTGTGCCACATTTTTCAGAACCTTCTTTTGAACCTACAGACAAATAAAAAATGATCATGAAAATACTTTTCATGATTTATAAATGTGTGAGCTTCTATACACACTTCCATGGCATGACTTCTTCTTTACCAAAACGGAGTCAAAGTCAGGGGCTTTCCTAGAGTCACCCGTTTCTGATAATTTAAAACAGAATTACAATGACAACACTCAATGGACAAAATTTCAACTTTCATATCCTCGATATCTGTGCACCTGTGCATTCCCTGATGTGCGTAAACATGGCAATGTCACAAAAACAAGGAAATCTGTCTATTCGACTGCCAGCCCTGGCTCCGGCATACAGAGGACATCATGTGAAATTAGGGTTGTGTGTTGTTCGTCTGTTTAGTTCAAACAGTGCCATCCTTTGCTTTTGTCTCACAGTTAAGAGCTCAAGTTGTCGTTCTGATGCTGAAGCAATCAAGTAAGTTTTGACAGAGTTTCGAGTTTGATGTTTTCATTTCGCTGCTTTATTGGGTGAGACGAAGGAGAAGTTTGCCTTCATGTACAGTACAGGCACTGACACTGTGATACCAGCGGGGTGCGCATATATTCTCTTGGATTACACTTGCTTTTCTTGCACCTTACCTCCCATTCGCAACAATTACAATATCTTGGGTAGGACTGGTGCGATGACCCCATTGTATGTATGACGACTGGTATCGCATTGGGAATTTCCATAGTCTTCCAGGCTCAGAATACAAACACCTTCTTCTATTGCTACCTCATTTACATGGAACTTGCATTTTGTTACGCCACCTCACCCAACCTTGCATCATGCGAGTTCGCAGTGCACAAAAATACCAAATGAACGGACAAGAGGATTTCAAGGTTCCCGAAAATGAAGCATGCTCTATTTCTTAACGCAGTCCTCATGAACCCCCCAAAACAGAGCCCCACATTTTAAAGAGTGTCTTCTCTTTTAGTTTTTGGAGTTTATTATCAACATTAATCCCTCCTGGATACTTCTGCCTCTTAAGTGGCCTGCGAATGAAACCCCCTGTCGAAAATAGGAACAGTGCAATTACCTGGCTACAAAGGGCCACATAGGGCTGGACATAGGCCTGGCAGATTACTGGCAGACACCTCATTACTGCAGCAGACTTCAACAATAGGCCTGGGTATTGCTTCTTCTACATCCATCTGTCAAGTGTGCTATTAGCCTGTCAAATGGGGACAGTCAGCACCATTAGACCACCCCGATAATCAGACCTATTTACTCCCTCATTTTCCTCTCCTTCACTGTCACAGTCTTGTAGTCTGGTCAGAAGACGAAAAAAAAAGCGCGTCCCTTTCTCCATCCCGCCCCATCTTCCCTCCCACTCCTCCCCTGACTCACTCTCAGACAAAGACAAGTTCAGTTGGTCATTACATTCTTCTGGGAGTCATAGTAATCAAATACAGTATGCCCCCCATCAACTGGGCCAAATTTAATTTCAAAATGTACTTCTATACAAAAGGGAACCCAGATAAAGCAATTTCTATTTTACTGGTCTTTGAGATAAATGTGAAATAAGTTCATTCCACTATTAATAAGCAGAAATGTACATCAGTAATTCTGAATTCATCTAACGTTCAGTATTTCATCATCAGACTATGTAGAAAACATAACACAGAAAATCATAGTGCGTGGCCAGCAAGAGGTTCCAGGGGCCCCAAGCTGACAAACTTGTAACTCTTTCCTTATGGGAACCTTGCCAGTATGAACTCAACCAACAATCTCTTGTCTTTCACCACACTGTAACTCCACTTCATGTCTGCTATTAGGTCCCACAAGCTCACGCTGTGATTTTCACGGTCCGCCTCATCCGCAGAAACACAGAAAAATGAGAAGAGCCTCATTTAAATGTTTCACTTGGTCAATACTTGTCCCCTGATAGGTGCTTCTGCGTGTGAGTCAAAGATCTACAAGAGCATGAAAAAAGCTGTAGCAAAAAAAAAAAGACAATATCCCCGCTCGACCTGTCATTTCCATTGGCTGGGCTCAGGTCCCATCACAGGCACAGTTAGAGGATGAGCACAAACACACGGAGAGACAGACAGGGAGGAAGAAAGAGAAGGATAGCAGGATGAAGGTCATTTTCATTGGCTGGGCTCAGATCCATCACAGGGAAAGTCAGAGAAGGCGCACACATGCACACAAACATACAGGGAGACGGACAAGGAGAGGGAGGACAGAGAGAATATTTCAGCGTAGCCTGAAAACAGCAGCTGTCCGTGCATCTATCTTGGGTCGGTCTCCTTCAGTCTGACATTAAAGTATTGAAGAGTGAACGGAGCTGAACCTGGGTAGCTGTTACACAACACTAAAGGTGAAACTTCTGCGTCTGCGTCCACCATCGGCTAAGCTAAAAACACTGCAACAAAGACATGACGGCTTTGCAGATCACACCTAACGTTACTCAAATTTCTAAAAGAGACCGAATATTAACAGCGAGATTAATTCTCTTGCCATTTTTGTTAATTCAGAGAGCAGTGTCGGTGTATAAATCTGCAGATTTACAGACAGGTTTCAGCTGGGGTGTAGCCTTCCGTGAAGAGAAAAGTACTGACTCGCTGTGCGGCATTGCTCTCAAAACAAAGTCTCATTAAACAAAGACCAAAGAAAAACAACAAAGAGATGCATCAGTCTGTGAAGCAACCAGCCTGCAACCTCCAGATGTGAACCTCAAAAAGGAGGTTTTATAAATGAGTCATGTGTTGTTTTTGGAGGGATGATTACCTTTAGCAATGTTAAAAAGCAAGAATTTCTGGAATGTCTTGAGTGAAACGCAAACGGGGACTATTTTCACCACCGGATTTGATGTGTAAATAAACTACAAAGGAAAGAGGGATGGGTGCAGTGAATTATGCTTGTCCTGCCACAAAATGTAACATGCTGTGTCTTGGGTCTGGGTTTGAACTCCTCCATCGTGTTTTCAAAAGGGAAAGCCACTGCTTTGATTCGGGGAAGGAAGGCCTAGAAAGAGAGCATGTATGTATAACTTTCACTAAACCAGCTGGCCTCTCGCTTCAAGCCTTAAAGTCATTATTCACGGTGGAGCGACGTGAAATCTTAGCAGCCCTGAAGTGAGCTATGCCGTGAAGTGAGACTCTGAAATGTACATTGTGCAGAAATGATGGTCTTCTTAGGTGAAATGATTCACATTTATGCAATAATAGTAGAATTTGCCATTTTATAAATGCATTAAAAGCAGGTTTGCGCTTACAACGAAGACAGACTGAAAAAAAGCAAAAGTACTGCTATGAAGGTTACATGATGAGTATTATATCGCAGATAGTGAAAGCTGGCCGTCATCATCATCAATGCCACCACCACATTATCACCACACCTAGCCACAGTAGCCACTTACCAGCCTGGTTGGTGGTGATGTCTATGGAGACGTGCTGGGCAGGGTATGGGCTCTTATTGCTGACTCCATTAACAGCCTGTATCTCAAAGCTGTAGAGGGTGTGCGCCCATAGGTTGCTGATGAACACCCTGGTGTCAGTCAGGCCCAGCTGTCGAGGGACGAAGTCCACGTTGTCGTCGCAGTGGGAGCAGGAGCGCCTGTCGGCCCGGCACTTCTTGCACACTATGTTGTAGACGACGTCATTGCGGCCGCCTGTCTCCCTGGGAGAATGCCACTCCAGGATCACAGATGTTTCGTTCACAATGGAGATCACATTCCTCGGGCTGGATGGAACACCTGCAGACACAAGGGGAAGACATGTGAGACAAATGCCATTGTAGCTTGGATCGTTACCTTTACAGCATTCATGATCCTTAAAGGGACAGTTCACCCCAAATCAAGGATACATATTTTTCCTCTTAACTGTGGTGCTATTTATCTTGTTTTGGTGTGAGTTGCCAAGTGTTGAAGGTATCAGCCATAGAGACATGTGCCTTCTATTGCATATAATGGAACTAGATGGCACTCGACTTGTGGTGCTCAAAGTGCCAAAAGAAATATTTTTGAAAAACTCAACAGCAATGTCTCTTTCCAGAAACCATGACCCGGTTACTCAAGATAATCCACAGACCTTGTTGTGAGCAGTTTCATGTAGGAACTATTTTCCTTCTACCTAACTACACCCGGCAACGTATCACAGCGCAGACAGAAGCATGAATGTACTAATGGACGAGACGCTTGTGCTCATGACAGGGTTAGATGTAAGCATTAATACCTCTTTTCCTTTGTAACTCTTGGCCACATCAAGTAAAGCCATGCCACACCAATTTGTGTTTCCATTTGCGCCAGAGATGGACCTTCTCGGAAGTAGGTCCAAAAGCTGGGCTGACCACAGCCAAACCCTGACGGCCTCCCTTCTCCCCTCCAAATAAGCCATGTGTGTTGTGAGGCTTTTATCACCTCTGTTTGCAGGAGACCAGAAAAAGGCATTTTTCAAAGTTTTTGTGTGTTCAGCTCTCAGTACTTTTGTAGCTTCTAACTGAATCTCCGTGGTGCGGAGTTTAGATTCTCCCCTGCGTCCTGTTTTTACTTTAGATACCTGCTTTATTTTACTGTTTCATGTTCGCTATCAGCCGTATTATAAGTTGTGTGAAGTTGCTGCTTGAAAACTCAAGATTTTGCTGCTTCACAATAAAAGTTTATACATAACAAAATAATGGGGGACTTTTATTGTGAATAATTTAGAGGAAATTAAAAGTGTTATTACTGAATTAGCGGAACTTTGTTGGCGGCTTCTTTTCAATAAAGGCAAGTCTAACAATATGGCAGGGAGGAAAGTGAAAGCAGAAACAGCCACAGTGAGAAGCTGATGAAGAGCTGCAGACAACAGGATCTTACTGCACCTTTGCAAACAGCTCACCTCCAACAGGTAAACTCTTTTACCTGCCCTGCTGTGGAAAAATGTGCAGCAAGAATAACAGGTCAGTGGATCAGCCTGCTGCTTTAAAACGTCACTCAAGACGAGCCATCATCAGTTTAAGACACGCCTTCAAGAAGGTAGTCCTGTTGTAATGGTAATGCTGGGCTGACGGCCCTAACCATACTAAGCCAGCCAATGACTGTCGAAAAGGGGCATAATTGCGTCTGCCTCGGCTGAGCTTTAACGTGAATCACCTCGGTAGTGCTGGGCGAGCTAGCAGTAGACGCACTCTTCCTTGGCTGGTGCAGTTCAGTGGAAAGAAAATAGTTCCTCCATGAAACTGCTCACAACAAGGTCTGTGGTTTGTCTTGAGTAACCAAGTCATGATTGCTAGAAGGGGCACTGCTGTTGAGTTTTTCAAATGTATTTTTTTGGCGGTTCGGGGACAACAAGCCGAGTACCATCTAGTTCCATTGTGCTGGAGAGAAGGCAGACATCTCTATGGCTGATATCTCCAACACTCAGCAACTCACACAAAAACAATCTAGACTGATAAATAGCTCTACAGTTAAGAGGAAAAATATGTGTTTCAGGTTTTGGGGTGAACTGTCCCTTTAAAGCAGCATTATGTGTTGCTTGTCAAGACAAACACTCTCGTAAATCTGCCTGCTGTTAGGTCAATTTACTCAATTTACAACCCTGTAATAAAGTGTTGTTGTCCAAGAGCAACTTGTCTTTTTCTCCATCTTCAGCACAATTGGAATGCTAATTTATTCCATTCACACCCGGAGAGATCATACAGCGAAACGTTTGTGTCTATCAAACATTGGTTATTTAGCAAAATGCAGTGTTGCATGGAGTATTCTTATCCAAGTGGCTCTGGAGATTCACGCTCCCATTCACTCCCTCATAGCCCGCAGCTGGAGCAGAACCTCAAAGACGATATTCAGAAAGGAATCAAGAAATAATAAAACAATTGTTTTGCTTGAGTGGTGGCTTAATATTAGGGTGCAGAAAAGTGGCTTGTTCAGCCTCCCGCGATCGGCGCACAATTCTTTAAGAGTTCAAATCTGCTCAAATGGCAGTGTAGAATTTTGCTTAGCTGAGACTCTGTGTCCCTGCAGCTGCTCAGAGGCGGCCCTTTCTTCTCAGATACCAGACACTGCCGATAAAGCAGAAGCTCGCCAAAGCCCTTAGTCAGTGCTGCTTAGGTTAAGTGAGGCTGCCCTTCAGAGCTGATCTGGTACCAATTTATCCTTCATAAAGCCTGACCTTTATCATTAAAACAGGAGTTTAACTTCTGGATCCATGGCTGCTGTAAAACTAAATACACGCTCAGTTCTAGAAACCCTTTGAGGAATTACTCATCTCTCTAGCATACTGTACTTCCTTTCCCCTTCTCTTTTTACCCATGAGAAAAATATGACAACAAGCAAACGTGGATTTTTAAGCATATTATGATACAGCACTTGAGTTCCAATTCTGTGGGCTTGGGGCAGATACTTACTTCAGTCAACACAGACACAATTAATCTTTGTTGCTGTAAAGCCACATGGGATAACCCTGGGGAGCTGGGACAAAGCAGCAGAACACACAAGGGTGAGGGAACAGCGCTGCTACTGCTGCGACCTCGGCTCAGCGCCTCAACAACAGAGAGGTCAGTGACAGGAAGGGCGTGACCTCCATAGTGTGATTATTATGGTCTGGCTGAGAGGACGGCTAATGCTCTAGATACATGGTCAAATGGCACATAATTTGGTCCTTGGATGCTTCCAGATGTATGTGGAGGGAAAATGAGGTGAAAAGGGTGTGTGTTGGTGGGAGCAGGCCCATACGAGGGAATTGGCAGCACTTTAGCTTTTCCCCTTGGGGACTGCACAATAGGCACTTCATATGTTACTCACACCTCTTGCATCCTCTGTATCATCCATCACATACATGCACTCGCCCCCAAACATGTATCGCTGAGAAAAGCAATGCACACCTGCTCATGTGGAAAATGCATGTGACACAAACACACACGCCTGGACTATTTGCTTCTGTGTATTTATGCCCACACTGTCTGCTTCAATGTATTCGTACAACGGTGTGAGAAAAAAATTTTTGCATGGTCGAGATGTGAACGAGGCGTCACACCCCTTCGTCCCAATTAAAACCCAGCTCCACATACGCAGGGATGGCACAAGAAATCAGATGCGACGGCCACTTAACCAGTGATTTGCAGACTATTACTGCGCCTTTGGCTGTTTTAAATTGCCATAGGATTTAATTTGTTGCGAACGTTACTTACAGGCTCTCAGCTGGTGTTCATTTAGCCATGCCAGTCAGACTTGGCTGTGCTTGCATACATGTTGCTCTCACTTGAAAGAACAAAACATCATCTCCAAGCGGTGCTTTGATGCTGGTTGTGACATGTACTGTATCACACAGTAAGGGCTCTATTTAAATGGTGCAATTACAACAACCAGAGCGGAGTGTGAGGTCATTTGCACAAGGGCTATAAGGACGTTATCAGTGCACATTTGATTTCTGTTCAGTGTGGGCAACTGCATTATACACAAAAGGGTCTGGTGAAGTGGGATGTAGAAAGGACTGGTGCAGTGATGAACCATATCATCTTAGCCAGTCACATAATTCATTTTATACCCTTTTAGCAGATGTGGCAATCATAGGGCCAGATGACTGATACTGCTACACAAATTAAATCAATATGGTTGTCCTGAAAGCTCAGAACAGCAAAGCACAAATACAAACTACAGCAAAGAAAAAAAAGGAGCCAGATGATGTGCCTTTTAAGTTCAATTTGTGGAGATGGTAGAAGTCTGGTCACTTTGTTTTCTAAGTGTAATGCACCTTGAAGACAATAAATCACATAGTGACTGTTTTGTGCATTTACTAAGAGAAAAAAAATTGTTTTGCTGGATGTTATTGGTCTGTTTTTCTTATGTTATTTGTCAGGTTGTACTCAATTAGATTAGCTTGTGTTGACATGTAACAACAATGCCACCACTGCCAAAACTGTGAGTCAAGGAACAGTCTGTGTAAGCTGTTTACATGGTCACACAAACTGACAATACCCCGTAATTATCCTGCTGACATGACAATCTACAGCGTTTTTTTTTTTAACAACTTAATACATTTATTGAGTCACTCCATCCAAATAATTCTGCTGTTTCACAGCATATTGTAATTAAAAATGAAAAACAAAATATTAAACCTGGTGATATTAATTGTCACTGCGCTGGAGACAGACTTCTACCTTCCAACCTGGCAGTGGCCACTGGCATCAGATGCAGATGCAAAATGCACAAGTAGCGTCTGTATGACACAGATATAACCAATTTAAATTTAAGATTTTTAACTTTTTAATACCACCTTATATAAAATTTAATAAATAATTAAATAATTTTACTTATTATTGCAGTTCATCGGTCTGTTCAATGATTGTAAACAGTCATTGGGTCTGTCAGGCTGGAGAAATTTTTGCGGTAATGTGACTGAAAATATTTAAGACCCATCGAAACTAAATTCAAGACAATTTAAGGCTTTTCAAGGCCTTATATTAAGAAAACTTAAAGACATTTTAAGATGTTTTGTAGACACCCTGATATTTAGACGTTCAGAGCCATGGATGAAGTATAAAGAGCGCAAAATTACGCTTAGGGCAGGTGAGAGGTGGATGGAACCAAAAAGCACAGGACTTTGACCCGGGAGACCTGTGCAAAACCAAAAGTCAGCAATGAGGGATTGTTTTTGGTCACATCAGTCATTGGTCAGTTGTTTATGATATGAGTGGTTAGTCACGTCAGTCAACTGACATGACCAGTGTCAACCACGATCTTTTTCTAACCCTGACAAAGTAATTGTGCTGCCCAAA